GACACTGGGAGGAGGTAACTATGGGGAGGAAGTGGGAGGGGAGCTGCTGCATTGTAAATTTTGGTCAATGTCATGAGACAAAGTATATGTGAACTGCTGAATGAAAAGTGAATTTACTCTGTAAATCTTCACCTAAATCCTAATAAAAAAAAAAATAATTAAAAATAGCCATGACAGAAAGATCCTTTATCAAGGACACATTAATAAGATTATATGCATCGAATGGCACCCAAGGATGGATGAATGAGCGGCTGGTTACAGCAAAAGCTGTTCCTTAGGAATTGCACTGTTATACCTGATTATTCTTCTCTGTCACTTCATCAAGAGTTTCAGACTGTTTCTCGAACTCTCGCTCTAACTTCTTATGCTTAAGTTTCCACTGCTTAATGGATTCCTGAGCTTTCGACTTGAGGTCCTCCCTCCTCTTCTCCGCCGCCTCTCTCCGGGCCTCCGACTGCTGGAATTCGCCCAGGTACCGCTCCGCCTGCCTGGTTGCTTCCTCCGCGTGGTGAGTCAGCTCCGAAATCTGGAGGTCAGCACGCTTGCGCTCGGCCTCACATGTCTCAAAGTGATTCTGGATCTCCTTCAGCCGATCCAGCATCTGCAGCTGCTGTTTTTCCCTGTTCTCCAATTCACGTGTTAAGTTCTAGGAATAAAGCATGTGAAACATTAGCAACATATTCCTGTCAAAACTGAATGTCTAACTTGTTATGAGACAATAATCTTTAAAGTCATGGAAATGGCAATCACCTGTATTACATTTCATTAGCAATTAATACAGGAAACATGAGCTTTTTTCTGTATATTTTATAACTACATTAGCTGGGAATGAATTTTTATAGAAATATTATCACTTTTTAGACTACTACAGTATCCAAAAAAGGAAATGCCTATGTTTGCAATGAACAGTCACTAAAATAGAAGTGATTGTTGACAAGAAAAATAATGTGCATTACTTTGGTACGAACCGAGTGTTTTGCCCAACTGAAGAAATGTCAATGTATTAAAATTTGTCAGATTATCAGAGAACTATTCCTAGCAATCACATTTAACATTTCACTTCCTAGAGCCATGTATAATTTTGTTATATTAAAATAAAAATCAATAATCAAATAAGCATTGAGGACAGACACATCAGCATAGATAACACTGTGTTTGGAAGTCCATTTAAAAAGCTCCCAATAAAGTGTTTATAGATTAGGTTATTTCCAGCTGAAACAACATAATACATTAATTAGTACTTCTTTCTAGTTTACATGAATCATAGTAGTATAAATTTTTAAATAAACATAATATGAACTTATTTTTAATATTTCTTTAACCAAGAAAAAAAACTGAACTCTTAAATATCAGTAACACATTTGGAAATAATACTAAGTCATTATGAGTAATATATATTTTAACATGAGAACAATGAACAAATGGCTATTTTTAAGTTCAAAACTGAGAGAACACTGCCTTTATAGAACATTTTATACAAATAAAAGAATATTATAAGCATTACAATTAAGCCACTCTTATAAAGCTTTGGAAGGGATTTACAAATTCAGCAATTACCTGCTTACAATGTGTCCCATGCCCTGTCCCTGTGAGCCTTAGTTTCCAAATACCTGGGGTAACAAAAGTGAAATGCACACGACTTGTGTCCCAATGGACTCAAGTAGAGCAAGGATTGTGACAACGCTGCAGGCCTGGGCAGTGTTTGCTCTGTGGTACACAGGGCCCCTACGACTCAGAATCAACTCAACAGCAACTAACAACAACAACAACAATCATGAAGGAAGCAGACTGCCACATCTTTAGTCCACAGAACAGCTGGTGGGTTCGAGCAGCTTTTAGTTAGCAGCCAAGCACTTAACCACTGTGCCACTGGGACTCCACAAGACCTGGAGAAACGCTCTAGTTAATAGGCTCCAATAAACATCTGTTGAACGAGTTAGGGAAAAAAAAAAAGAAAATTTATGTGTCCAAGTAAGAATGGGCGCATGCTAAGATGAGGCTAGGAGCTGGGAAAACAGTAAGTATCACATATGCTGTAAGAAGATGCGCACGAAGGAAGAGACAGGAAACACTGACCAAGGTGCTCTGACCCAGATAGCAGAACTTTCAGCTCCAGATTCCATTAGCCCTGATCTGTGGCTCAAGTGAAGTTAAATTTAGTTTTCCACCATGATTAAAGTCATGGTTTGATATGATGGCAAAAAAATAAAATAAAATAAAGCTTCAAAACTAAGCTTCATTTTCAGAGCAAGAAGTCTGTATTTGTTCAGTTCACTAAATTCAGTGCAGCCTGGAAGGGCTGAGTCACCCTTTATCCACCCAAACAAAATAGTAAATTGAGAACTGTGCACTTGTTTGTGTGGAAAATTCTAAAATGAGATCAGAAAACCCTAGTGATTGTGGTTTACCCTTTTGCCTTTATTCTAAAAGCTTCATCAGTGTGCTAGAAATCACTTTATTAACAACCACTGCACACACGATTTCTACATCCAGCAAGAGGAGGAACAGACTTTTTTTTTACTTCCAATACCTAGTGAGGGTGGTTATACCTACTGTTTCAGGCATATGGTTTACTAAAGATTTTTAAGGCACTAACAACCTAATTGAGGAGCTATTCACTCCACAGCTTAACTGCAGCAGTAGATAGTGTTAGGTGATAAAATGGGATGGAGAATTACCTGAAGGAGTCTGTTTTCTACAGTGTGGCCAGGGAGGATCTCTCTTTGGGGCTGATGTATGAGCTGAGATCTAAATGAAAACAAGGAACCAGCAATAATAATAATAAAACAACTATGACTATTACTGAAACTTACTGAGCACAAGAGTTGTGCGAGGGATTGTGCAAATGCTTTACATGAATTATCTCATTCATTCCCACCACAATCCTAACGTAAAGCACTATTACTATTGCCATTTTAATGAAGGTCACCTAACAGTACAGCTAAGTAACTTGCCCAAGGACACATATATAATATATGAGGGTACAAAGATTCGGACCCAGATGGGCTGACTCCAGAGCCCATGCTCTCAACCCTTTGCTAAATAAACTTCCAGATTCCCAGATAACCTTAACTCCATGCCTCTTCAATCACCTACTCCCATGGTCCTAGCTTGGTGTTTTTATCACAGCTGTAACATTTGAAACAAGAACTCTCTACTGGCTTTAACTACCAATATGACCAGTTCTCTCATCTCTCATTCCCTACCTTCTGCTACACCTGCTTTTCACCGTCAATGAATGAACATTCCCCTGTACTTTGTGTGAGTGTGTGTGTGTGTGTGTTTTGCTGACTTTAATACTTCACTATCTAATCTAACTACCAAAATTGTTCACTTTAACCATTCTCTTGCTTCAAGTTCTTTTTCAAACTGCTTGTTCACTGAACTTAAACAGAAAAACCACCAATTCTGGAAAAACTCAAATTTTCCAATTTTCCACAATAGGTTACTGAGTCTTCTAAGGAAAAGCACACAAGAGCATCAGTTGACACCATTGTACATTGAGTGCCAGCTCCACAGTGACCAGAAATTCTTCTATATGCCTCTACTGAGTTCACACAATGGTCATCCCTAAATGTTCCATTTGTAACCCAAACATCTTTTCCCTCACTCTCAGAATATAGTTCCTCTTTGAAAAGTAAAATTGAGGCCATGAGGCAAGACGTCCCAAACTTTTCCTCCTCTTACCATCCTGAAACTTACCAATGCCTAGTCTTACATCCCCTTCTCCAGTCTCTGAGGAGAAAGGATCTATCTTCCTTAAACAAATAAGTCCGCCTTTGCTTTCCCCTTCAATGTCCGCCGAGGGTTTCACTGTATCAATCATCTCTTCCATGCTCTGATTGTCTCTTTCCCTAGTGGATCATTCTGCTCTACTTCTCCCATCTTTAAAAGTAATAATAATAATTTAAAAAGCAACACAAAGCCTTACTCAATCCTACATTATTTTCTCATCAGCATCCCGTATTCTTCTTCCTTTTATGTCAAGCTCCTGAAAAGAGGAGACCGCATTTGCTGCCCCACAATCCTGTTTCCAATTCACTTCTCAGTTCACCAGATTTGGTTTCCATCTAACACAAAATTGAAACAGTGCTCACCATGATCCCCTAAAGGTCCCTTATAGCCAAATATAGTGAAGTCTTAATTTTTTCTGTACCTAGTTTCCTTATAGTGTGTGACCCTACTAAATACCTCTTCTTATTTTAAGTCTCTCTTCTTCTTTGACTTGCATAATACCACTCTTCCCTAGTCCTCCTTTTTCTTGCTGTTCTTTCATATTTTCCCTTGTGAGTCTCATCTGCCATTTAGCTCTTACAGGTAGATACCTCTCTAAGGCTCCAATAATAGGCATCGTCTCATTATATAATACCCTAGGGAAGTAAGTTTGTATGTAGGTAATTTCTAATTTGGAAGCCAGATAGATTTCCTAAACTCCAGCCCCTTAAATATCTAACTGCATAATGACTTCCTAGAGTTGAAAATCCCTTGGGTATCTTACATTTAGCCTGTCAAAAGGTGAACTTATCTGAAAAGCAATTAGTAACAAAGAGATACTACTATTAAAATGGCAGGAAAGGCTCTCTCTGCTGAGAGAGGACAGAAACAGGGGTGGAATCACACATAGAAATAATAAGTTCTAAAACAATCACTGTGGGGAAAGAGGAAACAGAACAGAGATAATTGTCTAAAAGGTGACAAACAGAAATAAAGTTCGAGTTTTATAGTCTTAAATTTATAATGTACCCAAGCCAAGAGTGCACAAAATATCTCCAACAGCTCTTTTGAACACAAAAGCAACATCGACTGAGCTTACTTTTCCCATCTACTTTTACCATCCGTCTACTTCTCCCATCTCGCATCTTCTGAAATTACAGTGAAACAAAATAAGCACAGGATTAATATACAGTCAGGTGCCAAATAATGTCCATTCGGGCAACATCCAAATGCATATATGTCTGTGGTCCCATTAGGTTCTACAAGAGATCAGAAATAACAATTGGAAAGCAGCATGTAGCAAACACAACAGCTTGCCACATGCGACACATGTATCTCATGTCTCCTGTACACAAAGTGATTGTGCTGTCTTGATAGTCATAATGAACATCTACATTACTGGCTTGGCTTATGGATGCACTGTACTATACTTTCTATCTAAAAGTTTACCACATAACAGCGCATGCTTCAACTCATAGGCAGCAGCATCCAGTCTCGTGTATCACGCATCTCTTGAGTTTTGTAATATTATCTCTGTTTAGTTTTCTTTCAAAAAATAGTAGCATGAAGTGTACCATCGCTCCCAAATACAGCAAAATCAATGTTAATGACAGCAACAGCAAAAAGCAAAGAAGAACCAATTTGGGAATGAAACAAAAGGTTATAAATAGCACGAAGGTGGAAAATCAGTGAATACTACTCCTCTCAATTTAGGCATGTCACACTCAACAATCATGCCGATGCTCAAAAACAAAGAAAATATTCTCCAAGTTGTTAAAGGATGGGCTCCACTGAAAACTACAGAGCTAACAAAAATGCAAGAGGGATCTACATAAGATACGGAGAAACACCAATGACATGGATTGAGGACCAAACAAAAATGTGAATCCCTCTAAGCACACTGCCGACCACTGCTAAGGCAGGAAGCTTGATCAAGATGCTTAAAGAAAAAGCAGGACCAGACTACAATATGTTGTTGACACAATGTCCAAATCACATAACGTCCTATTTCACAGAATGTATCATAGACGTTAAGTAATGCATGACTCTACAAGGCCAGAGCTAAAGAACATAAATTCTATTGATCTCACATCTAACAATGACAGACCTTCACATTAACATGTTACACACAATAATTCACTTGAAGAATATTTGAGAACATGTCATTGACTGGGTATGTGAATATAAATGAACAGAAAAGGGTATGGTTCTTATGGTAAATAATTATGGTTCTCACTACTGATGGGAAGGCAGGTTTGAATTTGAACTGGATAGGTTAAACACCATCTCTGACTGGCCTCAGTTTGGAAACTTGCTACTGCTTTGCTACGGCTCGTCTGTATTGTTGTTGCTGTTGTTGTGTGCCACGGGCTCAAAAACCCACCAGCCACTCCTTGGAAGAAAAGACCTGGTGATCTGCTTCCACAGAGACCACAGCCTAGGAAACCACGTGGGACGTTTCCACTCTGTCAGATAGGCTTGCCGTGAGTCAGCATTATACGCCAGTAAAATTCCTCAAAGAATTATTTCTTCTTCTCTTTCCCTAGCAGATCCTAATCAGCCACTGTTCTGATATTTTCTTTAGATCCATCTTCCTCCAATAACCAATCATAAAAACTGACCTTTTATAAACATTTCCCCCTCATCCATGAACTGATTACACTACAGAACTTTCAACAATATATCCTTCCATAAACACACACACACGCACATTCACATTTACATAGAGAGAGCAGGCAAGTGTACAAACACGTAATTAATCCATGGATAAATGCTTTCAGGATAGGTATAGAAAGAAAATATCAGCTGCTGCTTGATGTACTACATAAATTGCTAAATGAAAATCAATTTTTGTATTTATTCCAAAACGATGAGTTTCAGTTCTATTATTACAGCCACTCCTCACTTAGTGACATGGTTAGGTTCCAAAGACCAGGTGGTCACTGGGCAAAAATCAGGATTATGTGACAATGTAGGATTTCTTTTTTTGTGTTCAGACCATATATTTGTATTTTTTTAAGAAAATATGTCCATAGAAATAATAACAGCTAAGATTTACTGATGTGCACACCACCATGACAAGTCCAGTTAGAGATTACTTCTCTATGGAGAAAGAGGCTCGGAAGAGACAAAGCTGGACAAAGCCAGACTGTGTGACTGGAGGGCCCTTGGCTTAACCATCTCTCCTGCCTCCTGTGTAGGGCCCCACTCCCACCCCTGCAAGTCCTGCTTTCACGATCCCTGGAGTATGCTCTGCCCTACAAGTCTGATGAGTCGCCGAGGCTCAGGACTTCCGCAAGGTCACTGGGAGCCTACTTGTGCACTTGGCCCCACCAAGGAGGAAGCTTCAGGTCTAGTTCAACTCACTTTGAGATGTCACAAAACTCATATGCATTTCTTCCAAAGAGCCTATCCAATGACTCTTTCTTTTCTCTCTTCTTACCCCACAACACTTTTGCAGGGCTTCCAGCTACATAGGAACTAGGAACCCAGAACTGGCTCTGCTGTCCGTGCATTTGCCCCAAGGTCATGGCCACGGAATGACCACAGAGAAGGCCAGCCCCACAGAAGGCAAGAGGGAGCACAGAGCATGAAGCAGCACAACCCAGCTTATTGGAGGCCTCCCAGAAACCCTCCTTGATGGCAGGGACACTCACAGCCTTTGCAAAATAGTTGGACAATAGATTGTTCACTATTGTCATAAATGCAAAATGTCAGATAACGAGAGAGTTGATAAGTGAGAAATAGGTATACTATTATAAATTCCCAGTGGCACCTTCTACCCTGAAGAACTTTTTAGATTATTTAAATTGTATGACGTTATCTCAGCCACTAAACCAGGCTGGTTCAATTTCATCACACTTAATTAAGCTCATTGTTTATTTCCCATTGTATAAACACTGTCAGGGAAACAAAGAGCTCTGGTGGGATAGTGATTAAAGTATTCGACTGCTGACCAAAAGGTCAGCAATTGAAACTCACCAGTCACTCTGCAGTAGAAAGATGAGGCCATCTGCTTCCATAAAGATTCACAGCCTTAGAAATCCTACAGAACAGTTCTACTCTGTCCCTTAGGGTTGCTATGAGTTGGAACTGACTCGATGTCAGTGGCATGGGTTGGTCAAAGAAACAAAAGATCCAAAGACATAAGAATCTCCGTTTTATCAAGAATTTCTTCCAGTACATTACCAAAAGGCTTATAAAGAAAATCTCTAACCAAATCTGAGACCCGACACATTTAAATTCCATTTCTTTTCTCTTTCTATTTACTTTCACAAGTGGGAAAAAAATGTTGATGGGTAGTTATGTGTGGTTCACTAAGATGTTCCCCAATCTTGGTGATTCACAGAAAGCACTCACAAGACTCAGCAGACAGGCATACTCATGCTTATTAGCCAGGCTCCCAGAGCCAGCCAAAGACCAACCTTGTAAGGCCTGCTTTCCAAGGATGGAAGTCTCAGACCTGGTATGTTAACTCTTGTCTGAACAGTTAATAAACTGGCCAAAGAATAGACAGAAAGGAATGGAAGTGTGATATTTAAGATTGCATGTCAGCTTGGATGGGCCATGACTCTCAGTGACAGCTATGTGATGAGGTAGTTTGGCAGTTATGTAATGATATAATTTGGCAATTATGCAATGATGTAATCATCCCCAATGATATGCTCTTATGTGATGAGCCAATTAGTAAGAAGGGAAGTTTCCTCAGGGGTGTGGCCTGCATTCAATATATATGGACTTTCTGACAAAAAAAGTGGACTTTCTTACTTGCTCTGGGTTTACACCCAGCTCTTCATTATCTGATTTCCAGTCCTCAGGGTTCTTCAGTTTCCACAGCCCATGATCCAGCAGCCTGTCATCTGATCTACTCATCTTTTTTAAGTCAGCCCCTGAAGCAACGTGAGTCAGGTGAAGCCTCCAGCCTGATGCCTGACCCTCAGACTTGGGACTTGCCAGCCTGCTCAACCTCGTGAGACATTTCCTTAAAATCAATCAATCTGTCTCTCTCTCTCTCTCTCTCTCTCTTTCTCTCTTTCTCTGTCTGTCTCACCCCTTTTAGAGAAAGAGAGAACCCAGACTAAGACAAGAAGATAATAAAGTTAAATGACATCTTAACTAAACAGTAAAACCAAATCCCAAACCCACTACCATCAAGTCAATACTGACTCATAGTGACCCTATAGGACAGAGTAGAACCGCTCCATAGGATTTCCAAGGCAAGAATCATTATGAAAGCAGACTGGAATATCTTTCTCTCATGGAGCAGCTGGTAGGTTTTAAGTGTCAACCTTTCAGTTAGCAGCTGAGCACTTAACCACTGCGCTACCAGAGATCCTTAATTAGATAGTAATTAATGATAAATAATATCTGTAAAATAATACATTCGAAAGGAACGTTGGGCAATCTACTTCCGTAGTGATACTGTCTCGGAAACCCAAGGAGAGGTCGCTATGAGTCGGGTCCGACTCAATAGCACAACAACAACAACAAAACAATACATTTAGAAGATGGTAGAAAGTACACTCTTCTTTTAAAACTGATTAGCTTTGGCTGCCATCAGTTCCCCTTGTAATAGCTGCAGTCAAAAAATAAACCCATTGCCTTTGAGTCAATTCTAACTCATAGTGAACCTACAGGACAGAGTAGGCTATAAATCTAAAGCTATAAATATTTTAAGGAAGCTGGCTGCCTCATCTTTCTCCCACAGAGTATCTGGTGGCTTTGAACCACCAACCTTTTGGTTAGTGGCCAAATACATTAACCACTACACCATCAGAGCTCTTACTGCTCCAGTATTAGTATTCAAATTCCAAGAAAACTACGTAACACCTACTTGTAACAATAAGACATTAAAATGAAGATTAAAAAATGAAAAGGATATTCTACAAAGGGAATCAGTAGTATGGATCGGGTCCATCGTGAAATCTAACTTTCACTGATCACATACCTAAGATTATAATTTTGTAAGTGTTGACTTCAAAATGATATTGATCAATTACAGAAGTGGAAAAGTTGGGCAAGGTAAAACAATAATAGAGAAATTTTACAGAATAAAGAATTCAGCTGGCTAGTATACAAAATCCTTCTACCCAATTTCCAAAAATTAGAAAAAATTTCTGATATTCATGAAGAAGAATTTCTATGTCTGCATTTAAAACATTTCCTTGAGATGTTAAAGGATATAAAAGACTATAACGTAGGTAGCATCACTGTTTGTTCAATGATGTAAGTAAAATTCCATAATATAATTTCTCCAAGACTTATACTCTGTGTCAAGTAACACAAAGGATTGAGCACTTTTGTGAACAGTTAAAAACATATACCATATAGTAGAGCTGACAAGGGGCAAGGTTGTGGTGACTTCTTGCTAATAGCCAGTGACCCAGAGGGAACAAGTAGTTGTACCTGTGGGGTCAGGACCATGGTCACAGGGGACAACAAGCTCAACTGGCATAGCACACAAAAAAAAATATTATCCTACATCATACTTTGGTGAGTACAGACAGGGATCTTAAAAGTTTGCAAGTGTCCATCTAGATGCAACAATGGGTCTCTTGTCATCCAGACCAAAGAAGAGTGAAAAAAACTAAAGACACATGGAAACAATTAGTCTAGGAAACCAGCAGACCATGCAATCCTCAGCCTATATGACCATAAGATCAGAAGAACTAGACGGTGCCCAGCTACCACTGCCAACCACTCAGAAGGGGATTCATGTAGGAGATCCTGGATAGCGTGAGAGAACAATGTGGGATAAAACTCAAAATCATAAAAAAAATTAAAAAAAAAAGATCAGTTTTGCTGGTCTGATAGAGCCTGGCCGAACCCCAGGACTGTGCTCCCTAGCTGCCCCTCAGGACTGGAATATAACTCACTCCTGTGCTTCCAGACAAACAAAAAAAAGGCCTATGAGCTGAACATTTACATTAGGTAGATACACTCCTTGGAGAGATCAATCATGGGAGAACAGAAGGGCTGTGTGTGTTTGCACAGGGAGACAGCTCAGGTGGCAGGAATGCATGGGAGGGAAGGACACAGGGAAGAGATAACTATGGGGAGGAAGTGGGAGGGGAGCTGTTGCAATGTGGGAAATTGCAGTCAACGTCACAAGACAAAGTGTATGTGAACTGCTATATGGAAAGTGAATTTTCTCTATAAACTTTCACCCAAATCTTGCTTGGTAAAGCAGAGGGTCGACAAAAAAGGGGACGGCCCTCAACAAGATGGACTGACACAGTGGTTGCAATGATGGGCTCAGGTATAGCAAGGATAGTGTGGGTGGCACAGGACCAAGGCAGTGTTTCGCTCTGTTGTGCATAGTGTCGCTATGAGTCAGAGGCAACTCAATGGCACCTAACAACAACACAATAATAAATAAATAAATAAATATGAGAACAAAAACACTAAAAATCAGTCCCAAAGAAGCCAGGTACTCTAAAGAAAATATTTTTGAAATAATATTTTCATCTATGGCATTTATATACTTCTCACAGACACCTGGAAAAGTAAATGAGACTTTAATAACTTTAGGAGACAATGACATACCATAGAAAGAGCATAAATCACATAGGCTTGAGTTGAATTCCCAGCTCTGACACTCTGTGAATTACAACAGCTGCCTACCCACCGTGAACCAAAGCAGCTTCATTTACAAAATAGACTCTGTAAGACCTACCTCCCAGAAGAATGAAGATCTACATGCAATCACTTAGTAAAGGAAGAATGGCACACACCAGAAATTCAACAAAGCTAAGTTTGTCTTTCTGGCTAGAGGCAATGTTAGAAACCCATGCAATGCACACTTTAGAGCTGAAGAAATTGAGGGAATGGAAGACAAAGTACTTACTCCAAAGAAAGGTAGGTAGATTGGGACAGAGAAAGGACTAGCCCCAGGTCCCTAACAGCAGTACTAGTGACTTGGATGCTAGCCTTACAGATCCTATAATAAAAAATAATTTACTATGTTCCTTCCAACACTAGGAAGAAATCCTGAATAGGAATTACACAATCTCTGATGTATAGATGTTTATGGAACTTTTTTTAAATCTGAGAGAGAAAAGTCACCAAATAAGGTTGACTCAAGTTAAAACTGGGAAGCAAGTTTTTTGTTTTGTTCTTCTGTACATAGATAGGGTGGCAATGAGTTGGACATGACTTAATGGCACCTAGCAACAAGTTAAAACAAAACCCGTCATAGTGAATATATCTCCTTATGTATGCAAGACACTAAACTGGACACTGAGGAAAATGATGAATGAGAAATACGTAGTGGGTGGAAATATAATTGACCTGGAGAGAACTGATTAGGAGAGAAAAGACCAAAATGGATGTCAGAAGAGTCTCTGAAACTTGCTCTTGAATGTAGAGTAGCTAAAGCAATGGAAGAAACTATGAAATAAAAGACATGAACAGAAGATTTCAAAGAGTAGCTCAAGAAGACAAAGCAAAGTATTACAATGAAATGTGCAAAGACCTTGAGTTAGAAAACTAAAATGGAAGAATACACTTGGCATTTCTCAAGCTGAAAGAACTGAAGAAAAAAGTCAAGCCTTGAGTTGCAATATTGACGGATCCATACCGAATGAGACCAGAAGCATCAAGGGAAAATGGAAGGAAACCAGAGTATTGCACCAAAAAAAACAGAAAGAAAGAAAGAAAAATTGCATGAGAAATCTGGACACTTAAAATAAGGAAGACTGAAGAAGAATTGATGTCTTTTAATGATGGTGTGGGCAGAGTACTAAATATAACATGGACTGGTAGAAGAAAGAACACATCTGTCTTGGGAAAAGTCCAGCCAGAATGCTCCTTAGAAGTGAGGATGGCAAAACTTTGTCTCATGTACTTTGGACACGTTATTAGAAGGGACCAGTCCCCGAGAAAGACATCATGATTGGTAAAGCAGAGAATCAGTGAAAAAGAGGAAGCTCCGTAGAAAGACAGATTGACACGGTGCTGCAACCTTGGCTCGAACACAGCAAGGACTGTGAAGATAGTACAGGATCAGGTAGTATCTAATTCTGTTGTACATGGGGTCGGTGTGGGTTAGAACTGACTCAACATCACCTAAGAAGAGCAGCAAGGAGAGACACACCATCAAGACTAGCTATTGAAATGGGATTTAAGTTAGTAAATTCAAGAGAAATTACCATGGTCAGCAAGACTGCAGAAAAGAAGAAAGATAAAATAAGGAGAAAACCAGCAAACGAAAGTGTGACGAATAGAAAAGGCTTCCTTACTGATGGAAAATAGACAATCATTCATGACAAATAATAGCACGAGCAAGACCTGGAGAGTAGCTATCGGGCTACAGTGAAGAGTAACAGTTCACCAGGGCTAAAAAGATACTGGCAAGGAAGGTCAGAAATACAGTTTTGAGAATATTGTCACCCAATTTAAGCTTTCAAGGGTTTTCAGGGAGGGGATTAACATGAGGAAGATTAATCACTAAGAAGAATTATGCTAATAGTATCATATTAAAATGCTATAGAAACATTAAAAATAATTAAAGATCATCCTTTTAAAGCAGGAATTGACTTTTAGAACCAATTCTTTTCTCATTTGAATTCAATTCTAGCAATCAAATTCAATGGAGCTAGCTTATAACAGATTAAGACCAACTATGGCATTTGACAAACTGAGCAGGAAAAAAAAAGCATGTGTCAGTCTATCTGAAGAAAATACAGGTATGTTTCCATTCAGTCCAATAAACATTCAGCACACTGACTAGTATCCTACATGCTGAAATGCAATCATCAATAAGATGGTATGGTTCAATGTGTTACTGCTCCAGAGAACCATGTACCCAACTTGGGAACAAAGATACACAACAGGTGATTTTAATAAATGTGATATATATGAAGAATTATTTATTTCCTATTTTAAATTCTGCCTCTCTTTCCAATTTATGTTGCTTAATATATACTTCTATTCACCCTTCACTACCTTTGCTGCACTGAGTGATGGTTTTCAACAATGGTGCTTACTCCAAAAGAAGAAGAGCCCTAAGCTAACAACAGGGAGCTCTGGTAGCATAATGCCTAAGGCACTTGACTGATAACCAGAAGGCTGGCAGTTCAAACCCACTAGCCACTCCTCAGAAGGAAGGTTGGGCAATCTACTTCCGTAGTGATACTGCCTCGGAA